GTTTAGGGTTGCCTTCATGCAGCAGTGTCTGTTACAGCGACCCTTGCCGCTCGCCTTGTACAGGTGAGATCGCAGTGTTAGGGAAAGCGGCTTAAGCGACCGTAGCCCGCCATTGTTGCGACTTGTTGTCGTCAGGAATCCTGTGCCAGCAGATGTAGTCGAGAATGTTGTTACTGCGCAGACACACAGAGAGAGAGAGAGAGAGAGAGAGAGAGAGAGAGAGAGAGAGAGAGAGAGACAGAGACGGAAACAGAGTCAGAGATGGAGCAAGCGAGCGAGCAAGGGAGAGATGTGAATGCTGATGCAATGCCGCTGTGTAGACTCGTGCTCAGACATCCAGGAAGTGACCAAGTAAGATGTTGAGCTACCAGCTACTTCTGTCTGCATTCCTGCGAGTGCTGGTGCCGGGTGTGACAGGAAGACATGTCTTGAGTGGGGCAGGAGGAGGTTTTGGTTCTCCCGTTTGACTCGGTGTTGGGTTTTCTTTGGGGAGAGTGGGATCTTCCTCTCGGCAGGCCGAAGATCCTGCAAGCAGAGACGGACCACAGATGGCGGGGCCCGAGCTGGTGCAGCCTGCCGGCGACGAGCCTGAGGAGGCGCCAGAGAAGGTCTTGGAGGATGCAGAAGCTGTATCCAAGAAGCAGGCAAAGAAAATGATGGATTTGCTTCGCGGGCAGTACGAAAATACAGCCGCCTTCGCCGATAGCTTGTTTCAGGATTCACGGCTGCAGCGCCAGTGCCGGATTCTGGTGGACGTGCTACAGTTCCTGCATGCTGAGTATGCTTCAGATTTAGAGAGTCACGCAGCCGGGCAGCAAGAGCAACAGGCATGGCAGGGCCGTCGGGCCCTGGGATCCTTTTACGGCTCCTGCAAGAAAGCCTTGGACTTTCTCCAGGGGCCTGGTTTGATTGAACGTTTGGGCCTCCATCCCAAACCGTTTCGCAGAGCAGACGCACCTCTGTCCTTCGATGATGCATCTTTGACACAAGACATCTTTTTGGTCCAGCAGGCATTCAACTTCACACTGGACCTCGTGTCCAACAGATGTTGGAGTCAGGCTTTTCATATGTGGGTCCTACCATACGCCTTCGCAGCCGTGGCGGCAGATGACCCGACTCGCGCGCAAGCACGCCTACGAGCATTGGCCAAAGCACTCCTGAAGCTGGAAGAGAAGGCACAAACCGGCCCTTTTTTTTTGAAGGACAGTAGGGCTCAGGCGAGAGTACTTGTAGCCGTGGAATTGTGCAGGTGGTGTCGATGGGCGAGAAAAAGGGCCGGGAGAAGGAGCTCTACAAGGATATCGGGACATCCTCTTGGCAGATCGTGCGAGAAATCCTGTGCGAGGGCACCGCCAAGGATTGGGCACCCGTGGAGCTACAGGGCCTGGCGAAAGCCTGCTTTGGTGGCTCAGCCTCCACCCGCGAGTGCCTGGAGATGCCATTTGGCTGGCTCAAGGACAGCCTGCGAGCGAGCAAGGCCCAGAAAGCCTCTGTGTGGACCCGGTGGCTCTACCTTCTGGTGAACCCCTACTGCCGGGAAGGTGGCATCAAGCAGGTACTCCCCGATTCCTCGGACTTCATGCAACTGCTGCAGCAAGGATTCAAGGATGAGACATTGCTGAGTGCACATCCATTCAATCCTCTCAAAACGAAGATAGGGAACTGGATGCCCCGGCCAGGGGCAGTGAAGGATGTCCGGCCAGCAGGCTACCACACGAACCGTGTGGCCGCCGCCGGCATGGCGCTCTGAATGGCAAGTGCTAGCTCCGACTTTGTCGACGTCGGTCGTGCTTGGGCAGGCCTGCATGAATGTTCAAGCAAGTCTTAAATCTAGGAGTAGGCCTACGCCATACTCCTTCTCAGGCGTGCTGCTGACACAGCGGAAAGTCTTCTTCAACCGTCTGAACCTCTACTATGCGGTGAGCCTGGGCTTCTTCAAGTATGCAGTGCAGGTGGTGCCTCTCACCCACCGCCGAATCCAGGGCAAGGAGACCCGGTTCTCTGCAGATTGGCAAGTTTTGTTTCAATGTCACTTCCTTGATAGAGCTAGTTTGCGCACTCCTGGAAACGAATAACTGCAATCATAACAATAAAGAAGCAGCAATAATCAGAAGGAGAGTAAGACAATTAGAAGTAATCAGTTCTTGATGTGTCCCTCACGAGGGACAAGTTCATGAGCAGACAACAAAAGAATCCGGTCCCTGGAAATTTTGTTTTCTAGCAGTCCATTGCTACTAATTGCTGCTTTCTGCGTAAAGGCTCCGAATCCTGCTTGTGGTGCTGGCAGGAATACCTGTTCTTTGACACCAGCAACGAGCAAATCTGCCCCAAGATGGTCTTCAATACCAAGCTTGGGGCCGATTGCGTGTGGTCCCATGTGCCCGTGCGGGTGCTGCCACCCGCCTGTGTCAACTCCGCCTGCCCGGAAGCTGCAGTTACCTTGGAGATTGTGGGCGAGCTGGAGGATGTCTTGCCGGCTGCAATTCGCAACCGAACCCCGTTGGATGTACAGCAAGTGAAAGACCTCATGGCGGCTTACCAGATTCCCCAACCAGCAAAGGGCACCGGCAAAAATTCTGCATTGAAAAAGAACGACCGAATCAAGGCCATGGTGCAGTTCCTTTTCCCACACAGTGATGACGAAGCTGTTGCAAAGCTTGTCGCCGGTGTCATGAGGCAGAAGGTGGAGGACCTGAGCGAGACGCCTGAGTTGATTTTGCAGCTGACAGCATGTGTCGGGGATCGAGAAGCTGATCATTTTGCCAAGGTCAAGAAGGATGCTTTGGACGAGCTCGAAGCCAGACAAGAGAACGCCAGGAACACCCAGCGCCACCGCGAACGGGAGCAGGAACCAGGACCGCCGCAGCAGGATGCTGCTACGAATGTCGCCGCAGACAGGCCAGTGCCTGCGGCGACAGGGGACGAACCTGCAGGACCAACTGCGGGAGTGGACGAGCAGTGCCGGCTAAGCCGGCTCCTGTGGGCCGTACTCGGGCACCGCCTGAATTCATGGATTTGCTGCCGCCCCTGCCACATCTATATTTCAGATGGCAGCCACAGCATCGCCGAGCGATGGTGGAGTTCTATCGCGTCTTGCTGGCAGACAAGTTGATAAACCAAGAAATCCTAATGCTTCCTGCTGCTGATAGTGTCTGAAATCATAAGTGTGTGTATGTATATAACAGTAACACAGATTTTGGCTTATAATTCAAAGTGTGATCGTGCAGTGACTGTGTGTGTGCGTGTGTGTGTGTGTGTGTATGTGTGTGTACGTGTGTGTGTCTGTGTGTGTCTGTGTGCGTGTCTCAGCATGTGTGTGTCGTAGTTCTCCTGACAGGAGGTTTGCCCGAGGGGCTGCAGAAGACGAAGAGCTGCAGTTGGACAGCTGCAGCAGGGGAGGATGATCAGATCCATGCTTTGGAGGTAGTGACTGACTTCGTCTATGCTATGTACCATCGACATTTTCAGCAAGCCTCCGACTATGTCCCATCCTATTCCAGGCAGGTTCTGGGCGATGTTTCATGTGCTTCTGCCGGAATTAGGATGGTTGGTTGTGGATTTCAAATGCAGGTCGTAGCTTGGAGCTACCGAAATACACAAGCCTTACTTCTCGCTTCAAGCTTCAGGGGATCCGGTTAGGTTTGTTCAAGTTTACTAGGTTTGCCTGCGGCAGGCCGTCTCGCGAGAAGCTTCGAGAGGCGATGCATGCATGGAGTGCACGTGCTCACGACTGAAGTGGAGATCGCGATGTGTGCCACAGTGTGTTTCACGAAAACAGAAGTTTAGGCCGGCCAACAGGACTGGCGGTTCTCATTGGCAAAGCCATGCAACGGACCACGAGCGAGCACCAGCCCACAGACCAAAGCATGCTTGGACCAACGAATCTACTGTGGTAGAGTTGCACACACCATGAATACGTCCGTACCTCGGCCAGTTGCAATGACACGAACAGTGGAAGCCTCCCATGCAACTAGACCCTGTAATGCCTTAAAAGTCCTTTGTCATCGTCTGCCTATATTGTCAGGTTTGGAATGAAGATGCATTGCCTTACTTCCAGTGATTTCGACATAGGCTTCGAGTGATCTTGAGTTTGGGGGGGGGCTGGAGGGGAGGGGCTAAGAAACCTATAAGAAAACAATCGTGGGACGGATGCAATGCCGCAGTGCTGTGCTAGATGCCGTCAGAAGAGTAGATTGAACAGATTGCAGAATCATGTCAGGTATGCCAGCAATCCTCAGAGAGTGCACGAGTGTTTTTGGGTAGGTTGGCATGCGAAGTGTGTTGTGATGCTGTAAGCGTGTCATCTCAAAGCCCAGCCCGGTGAGCCCAGCCCAGTCCAAGTACGAGGCTCGTGTGCACCCTGAGGCCTGTGAGGAATTCAAGTCACCGACCGCCGTCTTAGCCCCATGACCTTAGGCAGTTTCGCATTGGCACGTTTTCTGCTGAACACGTCTTTGTGTCCGCACCCTTCCGGAACATAGTCTGGCAAAGGTTGAGTGAAAAGGGGCCAGGTACCAGGTGTCCCCAGGGGTCCCCAGGGGCAGGGTTGGGAGCGGCTCGGAGCTGGCTCGGAGCTGGCTCGGAGGTGGCTCGGAGCTGGCTCGGGCTTGGGGTGGCTCGGAGATGGCTCGGAGATGGCTCGGACGTGGCTCGGAGATGGTTCGGACATGGCTCGGACATGGCTCGGACATGGTTCGGACATGGCTCGGGCATGGTTCGGGAAGCTGTTTTAAACTGTTTTTGCGCCGTTGTTGACACCCCACCGAAAAAAGGTTTAACTCCTCCCAGAAGGTCGAGTTTGCAGAGAAACATAAACATCGTTGATCATGTGCTAACTTTCTTTAGCTTTTGGGCGCGATTCATGTGATATTTCCTGATGCCTTTGTTTTCTCGAGCTTTTCTGGTCGTGCTGGCAAACCAGGCTTGCCGGTGAGTGTTTTTGCAACCTGCAGCGCCGCTAGTGACTACTTAGTGTTCCCCTGCGGTCGTGCGTTGTGTAGCGGACCGCCATGGCCGCTTTGGCCCTCGAGTCCGACGTAGACCTTGGTGAGCTGGCTGCAGAAGCCGTTCCTTCTACTCCTAAGCAGGCGATCAAGAAGAAGAAGAGCAGAAAGTCCTCTGCCAAGAAGGACAAGAAGGAGGAGCCTGAGTCGACAACGAAGAAGTGTGCTGACTGCGGTCAGACCAAGAGCTTGGACGACTTTAACGACGACCAGGGGGTCTGCCGGGGCTGCTACAACACTGACCGTTCGTTGTTGCGGGTGGCCAAGACGCAAGGCGTCAAGGCCCAGGTGGTTGAGCTCAAGAAGCAGGATCCCAAGAACTACGAAAGCTTGTTGCGGAAAGCATTCGTGAAAAGCAGATCCGAGCAAAAGAAGAAAGGATCCAGAGTCAAATTCGGGATCGCGAACTTCATCTCCGAACTCAAGCGCTCCGATGGCTGCCGGATAGGCAGCTACGGGGAGATGATGTGGGAGGAGGAGTACTACGAGTGGGCGAAGACGGCGAAGGCCGGGTTCTTGTCGCAGGCGGAGAGGGAGGCCAACTGGAGGAGGATGATGTCGGAGGCGGACGCCGGCAAGAGAGCCTCGGATGAGAAAGGGCCGAGGGGCTTCAGGCGTGTGTTTGTGCACACGAAGGATCATTCTGAGAACTATGCTGACGTGTCGAGGTCGCGGATGATTCAGCAGGTGGAGACTTCCAAGAAGCCGACAGAAGCTCACCTGGCTACCCGTCGGCAGCTTCTGTTCTCCGACTTCGACCTCACGGGTGAGACCGCGACCGACGAGTTTGGGGACATGATGGAGCATGCGCAGCAGGCTTGTGGTGGACACGATGATATGGCTGTCATGGGCGGCCCTGACCTTGGGGCGATGATTGCAGAGGCAAAGGACCGCAAGGGCAAGACGGGCAAGAGCAAGGCCAAGCCCGCCTTGTTGAAGACTCAAAAGTCCAAGTCCAAGTCCAAGCTCGAGGCCTCGAGCTCGGAGTACGGAGACTCTGGCTCAGACAGCAGCGCAGAGGCGAAGGAGGTGAAGTCGGAGTCCGACGGCGAAGGCAACCTTTCGGACGAGCAGGGGCAGCAGGGGGACAAGAAGGCGAAAAAGGCCAAGAAGGACAAGGACAACAAGGGGGATGACAAATGGTATGATGCTGAGACGCAGAACTTGAAGGCCGAGAAGGACTTCGATCGGGCGGTCCAGGTGTTGAAGGGCAACATGGATGCTCAGGTCACCGCCATGACAGCGGTGGTCAGGGAGTTCCGTGCCGACAGCAACGCTGCCAAGGTAGGTGCTGCCAGGCAAAGTCTCAGTCAGTCCCAGTCGTCCCAATCCCGCTGTGCCTTACAGCCTTACAGGAAGGAAGCTGCAAAAGCCGAAATCGTTTTGCACTTGCGACCAGTGTGCCAGTGAGCAGAGCCTCGCTCAGCACTTCATCCGAGCAATGATGCATTTACGAATGTCTGATGAGTGATGGCATTGGCTACAAGACTGGACTCTGATTGGACTGGACAAGGACTGGCTTGGTCCCAAACCATGAGCCGGCTCTAATACCCAACTGGGTCTTGGAGAAGTCCAAATACTTGAAAAGCCCACTAAAACAGCCTTGGCGGGCCCTCAGGAATGTCTGCTTGAGTGTGCGAAAGTGATTGATCTTGGTTGGTCGCGGCTGCTTGAGTGTGCGAAAGTGATTGATCTTGGTTGGTCGCGGCTGCTAAGGCTGCTAAGGCTGCCAGGACTCTAGGAGTGCGTGGTTCAATTTTGCACTCTCCCCCTCTCTCTGTCTCTGTGTCTCTTAGGGTCTAGAGCATGGCCCCCATTGTCTGTGAAAGCTCGGCAAAGTCCTTTGATTTATTCTCGAACGATAGTTGATGAAGCCGGCTCGTTTAGGACTGGTGCTTTGTGCCAACAGCGGGTTGGCAAGTCGCACGTCGAGTGACTCTTGATCTTTTCATGTTTAGGCCAGCGCGCAGTTCCGAAACATGATGTTCCTTATGCTACTTTATTCGATTTCAGCTCGGTTTGTGCATGCATACGAAGTCTGCAGCCAAAAATTGCCAGGCCTATGTGGACGAGATGGCAGTGGTGCTGCGGCGTCAGGAATGGCTCGTGGCCGTGAAGGACAGCGATGAAAAGAGGCTTGAGACGTTGCAGCAGGCAACTGCCATCCCTGCCAGTGGTGAGGATTCGGCCAGTGTTGCCGGCTCCCGTGACAGCGGAGCCGTAGCCCGTGCTGGGCCCTGTGCGGGGTACCAGAGCCTGAAAACGTTGAACGATTTCTCGGGGAAGGGCATCAAGTTCCGTGCCTGCACGAGCAAAGATCAGCTCAAGAAGGTGCAAGAGTCCATGGGTCCAGCGAAGAAGCTGTACCAAACATTGCTAGCTTCCTGCAAAGCTTCGGTGAGTGAACTTCGTTCTGCCAAGCAGCGTGCAGCTGCGGCGGAGGAGGCTAACAAGAGAAAACGCATCAGAGAAGAGGAGAACCTCAACAAGGCCAAGCCCAAGCGAGGGAGGGGCAAGGCGACCGTGAATCCGGCTCAGGCGGCGAGTGGCCTGGCTCACCATTCCATCTTCGAGCTGGAGTCATCGGATTGTGCGACGATCCCGTCCGCAACAACCTGGCAAAGCGATTGGTTGCTTGACAAGGCCTTCGTGATCTCTAACATCGACCAGATCGTCGACGAGGAGAGTGCCCGGAAGTCAGTGAAGACGTTGCTGAGCGACTTCGCGAAGGCTTTCAACGAGAGCAGCTTGAAGGCCAGGGCCACCTAGTATGTGCGTATGTCGAATAGAACATCCGTCTTGAAGTCTTGGTCTCGATTGTTTTTTTGTGGCGATGCCTTTGCTAGGTCACCGAAGGTCGTGCTTCTCAAAGCCTGGCTGCTGATGTTGGGAAAGCCGTGCAAACGAAGTTTGATGCTCTTGTGCATGCTGACATCCAGGGCAGGCCTGTGTGGCAATGCAGCATTGCAGCAGAAGAGGCGGCTCTGACCAAAGCATTGGCCTTGCAGGCCTTCGGGCTTGCTGCAGGACACGTGTCAAGCGGCAAGGCGGAACTTCACCAAATGTCTTGCATGCGGTGGTCGAGCCAGGGCACCAGAGAAGTGGCAATGATTTCGTTTGAAAGCGTCGCCGCCTTCCTCGAGTCGGAGAAGGGTGCGGGCCATGGCGCCCAGCCCCTTAACTGCTTGATATCCTGCGGTGTAGCTGCTCTGTGGGTCTGTGGGAGACTGTAGAAGGTCCTGTGTGCATCGCCCAGGTTTCAGCATGCTTTGACATGGGCGGCCTCAGCGTCGCTCGCCGACCTGAAGACGCTCCTTGCCTCCCAGCCGGGCAGCATCACACGTGCCACAGTGGGACCAAAGGACTTGCTGTTCACACCAGCAGCTTCGATTACGTTCCACCGTGTCTTCGGTGACTCTGATGTGCTGGGACTTCGCTGCCCTCTGCGCAGCCTTGGATCTTAAGCTTCTGCCTAGAATCCGAGAAGACCTGAAAGGCGTGAAGGGCAATTCTGAGGTTTTGGAGGCAGCTTGCAGCTTCTTGGAGAAAAACCCGCAGAAGGTGCAGATGAAGACTTCTCGAGTCCTGCCCATCGAGCCGGCGGGTTCTGGCTCTGATGGTGCAAACGGCCCTGCCATCGACGAAGCTTTGCGGGTTCTCGATGAGGATGCCAAAGCGACGGCGGCGGAAACAGACGAGCAGGCTGCCGCCGCGGAAGCCAAGAAGATCGCCGCCGCCGAGGCCGAGGAAGCCAAGAACATCGCCGCCGCCGAGGAAGCCCAGAAGATCGCCGCCGCGGAGGAAGCCAAGATCGCGCCGCCGCCGAGGAAGCCAAGAAGATCGCCGCCGAGGAAGCCAAGAAGATCGCCGCCGCCAAAGAGGAGGAAGCCAAGAAGATCGCCGCCGAGGCCGAGGAAGCCAAGAAGATCGCCGCCGCCGCCGAGGAAGCCAAGAAGATCGCCGCCGCCAAAGAGGAGGAAGCCAAGAAGATCGCCGCCGAGGAAGCCAAGAAGATCGCCGCCGCCGACGAGGAAGCCCAGAAGATCGCCGCCGCCAAAGAGGAGGAAGCCAAGAAGATCGCCGCCGCCGAGGAAGCCAAGAAGATCGCCGCCGAGGCCGAGGAAGCCAAGAAGATCGCCGCCGAGGCCGAGGAAGCCAAGAAGATCGCCGCCGCCAGCGAAGCCAAGAAGATCGCCGCCGCCAACGAAGCCAAGAAGATCGCCGCCGAGGCCGAGGAAGCCAAGATCGCCGCCGCCAGCGAAGCCAAGAAGATCGCCGCCGCCAGCGAAGCCAAGAAGATCGCCGCCGCCGAGGAAGCCAAGAAGATCGCAACGGAAGCCCAGAAGCAGACCGCAGATGACAAGACCAAGCCCAAGGCGGACAACAATGACTCCCCGAGTAAAAAACTCCGTCTAGTCTGAATCGTTTGCTCTCTGGGAGCTGGGTGCCTACAGCCGATGTAGGATGCATGCCAGCCGGCATTCAATCTGATTTTGTCTATCGGTGCAGTGAGACTGCTGAAGGTCCTCATTCGTCACTGATCAAGCCAGTCTTTTCCTGAGGGGCCACACGTCCGTGGCTTGTTTTGCTGTGCTTGCAGGGGGCGTAAATTGTCGCCGAGAACCTTGTAGGCCGCTCGTCGCCAGGGCCAGCCGTGCACTCTGATGTGTGGGATGGCGGGTTCCTGCTTTTTAATCTTCATGCTTCAAGCACACCCGAAACCGTCAGCTGCAATCAAAACTGAACTGTCGTGTCTCGCACAGTGCAATCTTGTGGAAGCCAGCTTTGCGGCAAATAGTCATGCACAATCCTGCTTCAACATCTTTAGATGTCTCGGTCTAGACTCTGTGAAGGGCGGAGTTGAAGGCAACAGCAGTCCGATGTGCAGCACTGGCCAGGATCAAGATGTTCCAGTTGCTGAGTATTCTAATCCACGAGTTCCTTGAGGCCACGGTTAGCATGACACTTACGGTTTTTTAAGGTAACAGGTGAGTTCGAGCCAGGTTGTGATGTCTTGCAATGTAGGATATGTTTATCTCGGTAGTTTGGTGAAGGCCAGCTTTTCAAGTGTAGTTGCCATGTCTTTACAGTGCGATTTTGATGAGAGCTTTGCATCACCTGTGCGACGGAAGCGGAAGCTTGATGTTGAGGACCTCGCCGGTCGTACCTTCCTTTCGGGGCCTCGCACTCATGCTGAGGTCGATTCCTGGGTGGATTCCACAATGGAGCTGCTGCGGGATCGTGGCCTTCGAGACTTTGGGGTGAATTTCGCGGATCGTTTACTGCAAGCCTTGCAGCCCGGAGCTGGCATCTGCATGAGAAGCGACTACTCTGGGTTGGGAGGGCCAGAAGAAGCTTGGTGGCAGATCGCGAAAGCGCTCAGGCTGGGCGAGGAGGTTATCACCTGCCAGAGATGTTCAGACATCGATCCAGCTGCCCAGAGTGTGCTCCTGCATCGCAGCAAAGCTTTGGGATCCAGTCGCAGCTGCTGTGTTCTCGGTGATATTCGAGAACGGTGTTCAGAAGGAGTGCTACATGCTTTGGAATCATTGCGTACTGATTTTCTAGCAAGAGTCTCCAAGACTTGTGCACGATCCACGAATAAGGTGAGCAAGGACGAAGCGTACAAGAGCTTTGGCAAGCAGTTCGTGAAGGAGGCTTGGGAATTGCTGGTGCAGGAGATGTCAGCAGCCGCCAGTGCCCCGGTTCAAGTGCCATGCCTCTGTCACAACAGGAACTGCCCTGTTTTTCCTCAGCCGCAGCAAGGCTTCTCTGGGTTGTTGTGCAGTGTGGCCGGCATCATATGTTACGACTTTTCACAGATGGGCGCTGGCAAAAGGTTTTTGGGAGACTCGGTTATCCCATTTCTTATTTGGGCACGAGAGCGGCTTTGCTCGGAGGAAGATTTCTTTGTGGTAGAGTGTGTCACGAATTTTGACGACGCAACCTTAGCAGAGCTGCTTGAGAGTTCCTACGAGATGCATACGTTGCGAGCTTGTCCGAGTCTTTTTGGTCTCCCGGTGACACGTGATCGTAAATATATGGTTTTCCTTTCCAGGCGGTTGGAGTGGTGCGATGCAGTCCATACAGTCGGCGTACAGGAAGCTTTTCGAAAGCTTTTTGCAAGGCCAGTGGTGATGCGAGGTGATGAACTGTTGCGTGCGCCAGATGCTGCAGTCGATGACTTTGTCAGATCATTGGCAGTTGCTCGTGGTTTGCCACCAGTGGGCCCCGGCGGTGTGGCATGGAGCTGCTACTTGGCAATGAGCTCTGCGAGTAAGCAAAGTGTGCGTGATCACGAAGAGAGTCTCGCAGCTGCTGGCTTTGCACAGCGGGCAGCCGTTTTGACAAACATTGCCCAGCGAGCAAGCCACATGGGTCCAGTTTTGTCTGGCTTTGTACCGGCTCTCTTGCGATCCAGTTTGCTTTGGAGCTTCCGAAAGCGCCGGCTTGTGCTTCCAGCAGAGCATCTTGAGCTTCAGGGTTACAATCTGTGGGGCAATGAGGACAGGCGATCTGTTGTAGCAGCTTTACTTCCCAGCCTCCGTTCTACTTCTCTGAAAAGCCTTGCAGGAAATGCAATGCACATTCAGAGCATCGGATCCGTTCTCATGTTCGTTGTGTCGTGCACAGTTAGACGGCAGTAGGCAACGCCAACGACGATACCAGAGTGCAGCTTGGAAGAAAAATCTACTTCGCGGCTGTGCTTGTCGAAGCCTCGCCTCGAAGCCACCAAAGCTTCAGAACTCAGTACGACCATTGGCACCAGCAGCAGCAGCACCACCGCCACCACCGCCAGCAGCAGCAGCAGCAGCAGCAGCACCACCACCACCACCACCACCACGACCACCACCACCACCACCACCGCCACCACCACCGGAACACAAACAGGTGTGTGTCTGACTGTGTCTTCAAGGGCTCCGCCCATTCCGCGCTCCTTCGTGGGCCCCTAGGCTTACTTGTTTTGAAAGTTTCTCCGTTAGTCGGAAAACTCCCCAAACAATGAAAGTCTAGAGTTTCGTATTTGGGCTTTAGTCTTAAATCGCATGAGATGTAGCAAGAAAGATGAAAAGAGCATCATCCTGGACCGATTTTTGGCCTTGCCAGGGCGAATCCTGTCTCCAAGCGTGTAGGGCAAGCGTGAAGGCCCTAAGACACTGCAAGAACAGTTTGAAATGCCCAAAAATGCTAAAACAGAGGAACATACACGGAACCACCCCAACGTGACACGTGCCAGAAGAGACCATGAAAACCAGCAGGCCTGGCGCTGCCATGCAGGATCC